GCTGAAGTAGAATTTTCCCATTCATTTGAATGGGGCAGGATTTTCACAATAAAGCTAAATATTTTAAAAAGTATAAAAGTTATTTAAAAAAAGTTGTATTCAAGCACACATGTCCTGAAGAAGCTGAACATTTTGATACTTGAATGGTTTTTCTAGTTGAAAGTATGCTGAAGTAGTTAAGGGCCAAAAAAGCTATGGAAGAATAATAATGCTGAATCAGCATCCATACAATAATTGGATAACATTATTCAGCATGTCTTCAGCTATTCATACTGTAAACAGCTTTTTGATATCTTTTACGTTTTTTTGCATAATTGATCTTTACATTTTATGTTTCATTTCAATAGTCACACTCTAGTATTCCTCAGGGTGTAGAACTACTCTCTCTCTCTCATACACACACACACTGGAAATGAAACAACACAAATACAACAAAAAGATTTGAGGAGATACAAAAAATAAGACTGTCTGTCTGTAATTCCAATCAAAACCATGTTCAAAAGAAGCCATCTGTAATAATCTTGTAGACAAATGATGTATCTGGCATTTTAGTTTCTTGTTACCATTCAGCTGACATACACACCAAATCGGATACCTGTGAAAATCTAAAATCAACTAATAATCTGAAATGACACTGGACTTAGCTGACAGGACCTGGGGTATATGTTGCATGTTGTAGCTGAACTTGAGACTTAAGATACATGAAATGTCTGTTTAACCATCAGGCCACCCTTTTATGTATTGCTATTGTAGCTATGAAGCTTGATCTTCAGACAAAGAGAAGTGATGATAAGAGAGTTTATTTTGATAAACAGAGATAGCTAGATGGAGATCGTCCTGACCTAGGTTATCGGTGACTTCATACATGTCTTGAAAGTCTTTCATCCTCAGGCCAATGACATCCACAAAGTCCTCCACAAGACGAAACAGCTCTTTGATACTTGGCCCTAGCTGAAAAAAGACAGACATATAAAAATAGAATGATACACAGGAATTATGGATTTGAGGTGAACAGTTCACTTGACACACAAAAAGCCTTTTACAGAAAAGCTGTATTTGTGGAAAACATTGCAAAACTATTCCCTGATGGTTCAGTGACACCATTTCTCACATTACGCACACCTATGATCAACATTAACATTTATGATTTTTGCTTCATGGTTTTCCTCTTCATACTGTTGGCAACATTATATGACTCTATATGTTCTCAGTCTCAGTTGTTGGTAATGAGGATAAACTCTGAAACTCAGGAATAAACTGAACATACTGTAACGTTCACTGTTGGTATTCATAATGCAAAGACAAATTCTAAACAAATTCAAGTTTAAGTTCAGTTAAGAGAAAATAACAAAACACCCAGAAAATTTTGCTAAGGGGTGTATTAACACTAATTCGACAGAGGAGAGGAGCCAGAGAGAGCTGCTGCCATGTCTATCATTTTCCTTGAGTGCTTGCTCAAGGGGGATTTGTTGGGTTTTCCCACACTGCAAAGTCTAGACTTTACTATGAAAGTGCCCTGACATAAATGTTGTTGTGAACTGATGCTACACAAATAAAACTGAATTGAACTGAATTGCTTTCAAACTAATAAAGATATCAGCACCAGTGCAAAAACCAGCAGTAGGATGTCATAGTCAAACAATCATATCACGAGGGTGAAACTACCATAGGAATGATAGATCTTAGATAGATAAAACTTGAGTAGTTATGAAGTGGAGTATAGCAAATGAGCTGCCATTTTTAGTAGTATCAGTAGTGGATATAAAATAAAACAAAAAAGACACATGGGATGCTCTTATTATAAGGAAAACTGATGAACTAAACAAAACAAACACGGTGGGGGAGGACAGGCTGGCCCAGAGTGATCTGAGCTGGACCTACGCACTCACTGGGATCATACATGGCTCTCTGGGTGGGCCATGAGCTGAGCAGACAGCCATGTGTTCACCCAGGTCCCTGCAACTGCTTTGACTCTGATCTCAAATGCGGAGCTGGAAAACCAAATGCTTCCACAGACAGCCTCAAGACTGGCCAGAATATCAGAGAGACACTAAAAGAAATTAAAAGTAACAAATAAAGAGAGATCATCACAAGTTGTGATGTGAAGCATTTTCTCAACTTTGATTTCAAGAAATATCAAAGAGCTGTAGGTGTGGTTTTCCAGTTTTAAACACTGTTTACATGTTGTTTTTGTACTTCATAACATCAGGGAGTGGGTTGTGGAGGCCTTATATCTCACTTTCAGACAGTGTTAGGACCAATTCTTTTTGTTTGATTAACAAGTAAAACACTTAGCTGGCAGTGTATTCGGTGCACCTAGCTAAAACTAAGTCAGCCCTGCAAATCCGCCTTCAAGAAGGAAATAATAATTTTGGAGGCTGTATTTTGTGCTGTTGTTGAATTCTTTGGCATTTTACAGAGGGGTGTTCCTATTATTTTGTCTAACCAATTTATATAATTGAGGCTAGGCTAAATAACAAAAACAGAAGATATGGGGAGAAGTGGAAAAGTAGAAGAGAGTTGGCAGGAGACACAGAGCAGGACCAAGCCACACACAAGGAGGGGGTGGGGAAATGAAAAAAGTATGTTTGATTTATGGCTCTGTGTTGAATTTAAACTATACCTATGACATAGGTAATGTGTAGCCTTGTACCCTATGCCGTAGCCTGATGTGCACCTCTCTGTAACTCTAACAGCACGTCACAGCAACACAGACAACAACAACTGTGATTGGTTGCTTCACATTTCCTGGTTCATGTCTCTCAGTGGTCTCCCTCATTCTGCCTCACTCAGTTCAGTGGTCATACAGAGCATCTCCTTTGACATCTTCTCTTTTATCTATGTTGCAGTAATTTCAGTAAAAGTAACTGCTGCTCAGCATCTGTTAGTTTTACCTCCAAGATGATCCACTCAGTTTCAGTCGCCATTGTCTGTAAGTGGTGAAGAAATGCAACACAGTGCAATTACACCACCTCCAACTAGTGTTGTGGTGGTGTAATCTCAGGGTAACACAGACACACCAGGCACAAGTATAAATCCTCACAATGGCGTAGGCCACTTATGTAGTCTGCATCGTAGGCTTTGTGTAGATTTAAAGCAGAACCATAAATAAGCTTTAGATGGAGAAGAAGAAATGACTGTGAGGAATGAAGATGAGGATAAAGGTGAATAAGAAAGAAGGACAGAAGTAGGGAGTGATGAAAAGGCAGATGAATACAGGGAGACAGAGCTCACCCAGCTGGCCCTCTGTTCAGGGCAGTAACATTTCACTCAGGAAAATAACATGATTTTACATACTGAGTATTTTCTGTTGTATATTTGATGTATAATGACACACAGTATATACAAACCCCCAGTACCACCATCCCATGCCACCCTGGCAAAACATCTTGCCACACCATGTCAACATTTCTATATCTGCCACTGACCCTGATAGTTGTAAAAGTTGATAGTTAGATTTTAAAAAAAAAAAAATTTCAAACTTAACATTAAAAGCAGAGATGCTGTCCACTGTGATAAATTTCCTAACCCAACATTCAGGTCACTTTACTACTGATTATACTTGTATACAAAGTGTGTTATTTGCATTTTATGACACAGTGCTCATTGGGAGGAGACCAGGTCGGTTCATGTACCGTAACATTGTCCTGGTGCCTGCATGATGACGCTCCTGAGAACCAGATGAACGGCTTGAAGGCTGTTTGGAAGCAAAGGCACTGTTGCACGAGTGGATGAACGCAGCAGATGGATGAGTAGGTGGTGGGTGCATTGACTTGGTTACTTATTAGCTATGGCTATTTCTGTCTTTCAGTAGCTCTCCTTGCCATCTACCTCTGTCATCTACAAAGACACAGGTGGGCTGTTTGTCCACCTGTGTCTTTGTCATTGTTTCTGCAGCTTCAGGTTAAGTTCCTCAAAAGAAGTAATTACAGATGAAGTTATGGTGTAAGTCCTGTTATAGAAAGAGAAGGCGATACTAACCAGTTGTGCTTCCTCCCATCTCTCCCTGTTCTCTTCCATCAACAGATTGCTGACTGACTGCATGAAGTTCTGGAAGACAAAGAGAACATGTTTCACATTCCATAGAAAACAAGATTTATGTCATATGAAAAGACTTGAATCAACAATGAATAGTCCCACTAACAAGTGTGCACCCAAAGCCTGCTATACAGTATCTTCCTCCTCTGTGCCAAGGGGCTTCAGTGTTGTCCAAAAACTCTTAAAATCACATCAGTGAGCGAAACTGTTACAATGGGTGACATGTTCCTTCACGACCATGAATACCCACACTAGTTTCTTTTGTGACTCACATACATCATCCTGCTAACAGAAATGGAAGAACTCCAAAGGGTACCTTTAACATTAAGGAAGGTTTTAAATAATATCAGCCTTTTTATCAGGACTAACACCTAAAATTTCAATAATTTGAACCTTAATTCATTTAAATTTGACTAACTCTTACTGACCGATAATGTCATATATCAGACTTTTTACTTTAACTGTAATATTGTCAGGAAAGAAAACACCCTCAAACAGCATTAACATCAGCAGTACACAACCGTGCAGTAAACCCAGATATCAATTCACCCTCATGTCTGCACTGCTGGGGCTGTAGTATGCCCTCCTGAAGATCTCTGTCATGTTCTTCAGCACGTCCATGATGGCTAGCAGATCACCACTGTAGCTGGTCCCATCACTGGATGTAACTCTCAGCTTGGTCATCACCTCAGAAACGCCATCTCCCACAAGGCCACGCTGTGCTTTGGACAAATGCTCCCGAGTCTGACAGAGAAAGTGCCGTTTGTTAACTTTCACAGTTTGTGATCACCACAGCATGATTTTGCCATAAACACCTCAGTTTATGATAAAAGCTGTAGTTATATTTTTTCCCTTAATAACATGTTTTTGTAGCATTTTGGCCCTGAGTCTTTCATTTACCTTTCTTTATGTCACAGGTCTTTGGGTATATAACAGAGCCAGGCTTTGACACAATGGGCTCTGTTTTCCCGAAAGAGCTGTAAATGCACATCTTTTCATTTATCATGGTTCATGAGCTGCTTTCATGTGCTATTTTGTGTGCCTATATGTAGTTACTGTACTTGGATTTGGTGTCAGACTTGTGAATTTTAAAGCCTGGCTAGAGATCTATCTTATTTGAAAATAATCTTTCTAAATTATCACATATACTGTATATAATAATTATTCATGGTGAGTTGTAACAGTTCAGTTGTGGATTTGAGGGTTTAGGCTATTTTAGGTTGACATGGCTGGGAAAATACACTGGAATACCTGTTCTCATGCTTCACAGTCTGGACTGTTTTCAGCACAATTGCTATGTACCTGTGCTTGTGATAAAAGGTGGTCTGAGCTGGTTTTATCGCTATTGCTATTTCGGGTGAAAATAAGCACCAAAATTGCACTTCGCTGCCTAATCAGAATACATGGCATCTCTCCTCCCACCTCAGTGCCAACACGATTGGTTCATGGCAAGAAAATACCAAACAAACCAATGCTCAAAACAAACAAACAAAAGTTGACAAATTGAATAATGACTGTGACTGAAGTTTTGCACTGACATGAAAATAGAGCCCAATATTTTTAAGAAAAATGTGAAATCAATTGAAATCTCACACCTTTGTATCCTGGTACAATATTTGAAAAGTCGCAATCAGCTATTTTGCTTTAAAGATAGTAGGAGTGTACTGTAACAGAAAAACTTCTTGAGGCCTACCAAAGTCTGTATGCTGCGATAGTCACTGGAAATGCATTTCATATAAGTGGGGTTCTCCCAGTAAGCAATACCCTCTTCATCCAGGGTGCAGCGGCGCAAGATTAGCCCTGTAGGGGAGGTATCCAACAAAAGCTCTATTTAAAAAAAGTGTATTTCTAATATCACCACTTAAAATAGCAACAGACATTTAAATCTTAAATGGTAAAATATATATGTACTGTATATATTGTCAGCTCACCCATGGCATTGGGAGGACAGCGTACGGCTGCTGTGTCCCCTGCTGGAGTCATCTTCCATACAACGTTAGAGAAGTTGTCCTCACCACATATTTCATGAGGTTCTGCCCACAGAGAAGTATAAATGAGTTCATAGGACTGTATCATGTAATCATTTGTTACAGTAGGGGCCAAAACCTTTTATAAATAGCACAGGTTTCTGTCCCTGATGTAATGTTGCTGATAAAGCAACCTCTGTTCCCATGCACTGACCTGGACATTTCTTTTCATTACAGTGTTGAACCTCCTGTCGTTCTCTAGGACAAGGCTGCCCCCCAAAAAAGGGCCCATAACAAATCCTGTTTCTCTGCTGGCTTCCACCTCCACAGGTTTTAGAACAGCCCGACCACAAGGACCATGGCTGCCACTTGCCATCCACTGACAGAATGAATACAACATGACAACATTAGACAGCACTCAACTGGGCAAAACAGAACACATATACCAGTCATACCTAGATCAAATCAATATTTTAACTCCAAATCAGAACAAGTTGGGACAGTATGTAAAATCAAAATTAAAACTGAAAATAGTGATTTGTAAATCATCTGTCTCCTGTATTACATTGAAAACAATATGTAGACCATTGTTTGATGTGATACCTCAGCAATTGTATTCTTTGTTCAAAATAAACACACTTCAATCCTGATGCCTGCAACACATTCCAAAAAAAGTTGGGACAGCTGCATTTCAGGGCCAGTAATGAGGCAAAACAATGAAATGATGGTTCCATTCGAAACAGGTGATTGTAATCATGATTTGGTACTAAAGTGGCATCCAAGAAAGGCTGAGCCCTTTAGGAGCAAAGATGAGCTGAGGACTGCCAGTTTGCCAACATATGTGTAAGAAAAATATTGAAATTTTTCAAAACAATGTTCCTCAAAGAAAGATAGGAAGGGCTTTGGATATGTCACCCTCTATGGTGCAGGACATGATTAAAAGATTCAAGGAATATGGAGGGATTTCAGTGCATAAAGGGCCAAGCCTCAGCTGGATGACCAAGCTCTCCGATCCCTCAGAAGGCACTGCATCAAGAATTGTCACTCTTCTATAAGCGATATAAGGACAATAATGAATAAGAAAGTCACTTTTGGCTTTTCCCATTTTGGGGTTGCCACAGTGAATCATCACACTAATGAATAAGGATAATAATCACCTTTATTTAGTCAAGCATGTTACACACACAAGTGCCAACTCCACCGATGGCTCTAACCACTGGGGGCAACTTGGGGGTTCAGTGTCTTGCCCAAGGACACTTTGACATGTGGACTGCAGAGACCGTGGTTCAAACCTCTAACTCTCCGGTTGGGAGATGACCGCTCTACATACTGATCCACAGTCGCCCCAAGTGGGCTCAGGATTAGTTTGGCACACCTGTGTCAGGCACTACAATACGTAGTTACAACCATAAATGCTGCTTAAAACTGTACTGTTCCAAAAGAAAGCCCTATGTCAACAGTGTCCAGAAGTGCAGTCGACTGCTCTGGGCTCAGAGGCATCTGGGATGGACCATCACACAGTGAAAATTTGCACTGTGCTCGGACAAATCAGTATTTCAGGTCTTTACAGCACACTCAAAGCACTTTCACACTACCTGGCCATTCATACTCACACAGCAGTGTTATTACCGGGAGCAAGACTGGGGGTCTTGCTCAAGGACACTTAGACATGTTGATTGGACAAACCAGGAATCGAACCGCTAATCCTCCTAAGCCACAGCTGCCCCAGTTGTGTCAGTGCCCTTGGCAAAGGTGACTTACACTTCTGTGATGGCGCCATTAATGCTGAAAAATACATAGAGACTTTGGAGCAACATATGCTGCCTTCAAGACGATGTCTTTTCCAGGGACACCCATATACATTTTAACATGACAATGCAAAACATCATACTGCCACATTATCAAGGCATGGCTGAGGGTTCCAGGACTGGCCTGCCTGCAGTCCTGATATGTCCCCAGTAGAGAATGTGTATGGGGCGCCGAATGTAAAAATAACACTTACACTAGTTTTCTCACATTTAGCTGAATGTGACAAAGTCTAAATGTAAATGTTAAATATAAATGTTAAATATACTGTAAATGTAAATGTTAAATGTTAAATGTAAATGTAAATGTTAAATGTCTCGCCAAGTGTAAAACTGAATATTTAGTAGCTCCACAGCCTTGCCCTATTACAGTGCAGCACACAGCCCCACCCATGATGCTGAACTCGAATCAGTGATGATGACTCAAAGACCTCAAACACAGCCCCACCCACACCTGACTCTGGGTTTGGGGTCTTTGAGTCATCATCACCACATTTAACACTTAACATTTAACATTTGCATTTAGACTTTGTCACATTTAGCTAAATGTAAGAAAACTTGTTGTCACATTCTGGTAAATGTGAGAAAACTAGTGTAAGTGTTATTTTTACATTCGGTGCCCCATAAATGTGTGGCACATTTTGAAATGCTTCTTGTGTCAACAAAGACCCAGGACTGTTGCGCACCTTAAGATTTGTTTGCAGGAGGAATGGGACAAAATGACACCTGGCACACTTCATCACTTGCTGTCCTCAGTCCCTAAACGTCTTTTAAGTGTCATGAAATGGAATCGCAACATCACATCGTGGTAAATGCTTTACTGTCAAAACATTTTGGAATGTGTTGCAGGGATTAGAATTGAAGTGAGTGTTTATTTTGAACAAAGGATAAAGTTGATGTGGGCGGCACAGTGCGCCGTTGCCTCACAGCAAGAAGGTTATGGGTTCATGCCCCGGCTGACCCAGGGCTCTTTTGTGTGGAGTTTGCATGTTCTCCTTGTGCCCGCATGGGTTCTCTCTGGGTACTCCATTTCCTCCCACAGTCCAAAGACATGCAGCTTAGGTTGATTAGTGACTCTAAATTGAGGACTGAGTGTGAGTGTGTGCGGTTGTTTGTCTACATGTAAGCCCTGTGATAGATTGGCGACCTGTCCAGGGTGGGCCCCACCTCTCACATCAAAGTCAACTGGGATTGGCTCCAGTAGGCCGTGACCCTATTCAGGAATAAGCGGTATAGACAATGAATGGATGTGCTGCTGTATTGTTTTCAATGTAATACAGGACACAGATGATTTATACATCACTATTTTGGTTTTAATTCAGATTTTACATACTAACCCAACTTTTTCTGATTTGGAGTTGTACTCTTTAGTCCATTAAGAATAAATCATGTATACTTTACATTATTGCAGATTAAATTTCAAAACATGTACTGTGTTTTTTAAATGGTCATTGTTTTGCATTTATTTTCCCAGAGCATTCAAATTAAATATTAGAGGCTGGAAAGTACTTTTTTTCCCTGATAACTGTACTTCCTTTGAAGTAATAACCACGTAAATAAAAATTATCCATGCCATTATTTTTGATTGTTCACAAGTACTGTACCTAAAACTCTTGCACAGTATTGTGTTTGGCTTTTTAGTCTGTGCAGAGCGGTTTGTAGCTGACCTGTTGCCATACTTTTAAGATGCATCAGACAGTGGCCAGTGGGGCTTGAAGAAGTAATTCAGTATCATTATTTTTGAATCTCAGAGTGAAAGTCATGTAACTTTTAAATGGTACCCGTGAATAAATATAGCAGGGTTTGGTTATATTCCTCAAAGGCTCTCCACCTTGTATGTAAGTAGGTCATACATTTTGTACAGTTTTGTTACCATACATACTGTACTGTAACAATTTTGAACATGATACTGTAACAAAGCTACAATATCATGTTGTTTATTTTTATTTATTTTTATTTTTTATTATGCTCTCTAAAAGTCTTATAGATTGTTTCATTGTACATTTGTACTCATACCAGCAAGGATGGGTGTCACACTGCTTTTTTTTAATACATGCAAACATGGTGTGGTGCTTTAAAGTCACAGGTAGCATAGCCCATTAATCAAGCCAGCACTCTGTACCAATATTATGTTCAAATAACACAAATAATAATGTAAGCATTCCCAGGATAATTATTCAATGTTGCAATGAGAAGCCACATCATACAATAGAAAAAAACAGCCATGCTGTAATAAATTGGTCCAATAAGTTACAATAAAATTTTGTTACTTTTGGTCTTCTATTCTTCTTCTTTTTTCGGCTGTTCCCGTTAGGGTCGCCACAGCGAATCATCTGTTTCCACCTAACTCTATCCTCAGCATCCTCTACTCTCACTCTATTTATCTGGGCTTGGGACCGGCACAGAAGTCACTGGCTTGCAACCCCTGTGGCTAGATACTTTTGGTCTTCTATTAATCTGTGAAATCACAAGAAATAGATTTTTGAACCACAATAAATATTTTGATCAGGCTGTGGCCATGTGTCTTACCTGGACACTCTCCAAGGAAGCAGTCAACAGTCTCCAACCACTCTCCTTTGCACTCAGAGCCTCCAAAAGAAGGGCCATTGCACTCTCTGGTTCTCTGCATGGTCCCATTAGAGCAGGAGGCAGAACAGGAGCTCCAGCTGGACCATTCATTCCACACTCCATCCGCTGAGGGTGGCCAGGGTAACAAACAACAAGTACAACAACAACAACAACAACAACAACAACAAAAAGATATGCTAGTGATTTGGTGTATTATGAGTTATACACAAATTCAGAGCCAATCTTAAATAAGTATGGTTCCACATGATGCTCACTGCTGAACACTCAAATATTCTTGTCATCACGTCTTTACCAGATATACAGTATGTGGTGATGTACATTTCATACTGTAGCGTTATTTTATTTCTTAAATGTTGGGGTAAATACAGTGTTGCATATGTAAGCTTTAAGGGGTCAGTATGCTGCAAACAAAGTTGTCCATACAAAGTCAAATGCAGAAGTGTTTAAAGTGTTTTCCAAATAACCACAGACAATAGGGGGTTTTCCATTATAGGAATCTACCAAAACATGTTGCACCAAGTAATGTTCATCACGGGTTTTGTGTTTGTTTCTATTACACTGCCCCCGCATTGGAGGTGCATTCTGGGAGCTAAATTTCAGCACCCCTTAGGAAGTAGTACTAAAATCAAGTTCCAGAACTGCACGGGAGGAGGGGGTCCATGCATGCTCAGTAGTCACCAGTGATTGCTTAAATGTCCACGTTTTCATACCTTAAGTATTAGCATTACAAGCACTGTGTGTAAACGCACAGCTGACTACGTGTGTGAGAGGGGAGCAGCCTCCCCCCAAACAGGAACCGACAGAGAGAGAATACAGTGGAACAACAAAGCAGGACAGTCTGCACCAACCCAGGAGGCTCTGTTTGGTGATGGTTAAGGGAAGTACGGGGTATACTGCTCATTAGGTTCAGATGGTGGGAACAAAGCAAAAGGCATTATAGATGAATAGATGCGATGAATCTTTTCTAGTTGTGTGAATGGCTGGATATAGTCACACTTCTGTTTTTTTTTACCTTGGGTACAAACATGTTTGATCATGTTAGTACATACACTCCTGCTCATACACCACATTTGCTGCGTAGGTTTTGGAAAGTAAGGGCAATTGTTGGATGCAGCTCCACCAAAAGTGTTAGGTGGGGGTTGAGATGCAATCCAACAATCCACCTTTTAAGCAAAGCATACTGACTCCTTTCGGCATTGCTTGTAGCTATACATGCACTGAATTATTGTTGTATATATAGTTTTGTGGTAACATTTGGGCAGTAACATTTGGCTTAACTCTTTTGTTTGTCTTTTTGTGTAACAAAGGTGACTCATTTTATGATTGCTGTGTCCTCACCTGGACAGAGAGCTATGTTGCAGAATTTTGTCTGTTTCTCTGGGCCAACACAGGGATCTCCCCCAAACTGGGGGGGATTGCAGCTTCGTGTTCGGGACCTGTAACCTCGGCCACAAGTTGATGAACACAAACTCCAGGGTGACCACTCCTCCCAAGCACCATGCACTGTAATCAAAGAAGCTAAGGTAGGACTTATAGACAATCACAGGCTCCCTTAAAACACTCAAAGAACACAAGAAAACCTTACTGACACACTGAACTGTACTGACAGTGATTATTTATTCTGCTGCTTGGTTTTACTGGGATAGTCTTTGTGGATCCATTGTCCTCGGGTATGTAGGAGAGCCTGAGAACACCATGAAATCTCTAAATTTTAATAGAACTCAATTTAAAGTGCAGTAAACGCTCTTTCTATAAGGTGAGGGTAGAAATTACCCCTGGGACCACAGGTTTACTAAGTATTTGAGGAGGGGAGTCAGGTGGGTCTTGTATGGGTGAGGCAGGGTCCAGGTGAGGGCTGGGAGAGCACAGGATGGTGGCTGAAGAGGGGGAATGGCGGGGGGCTTACCTGGACAAACAGCAGAGTTGTTGCAAGGTCTCTGCTCTCGCAGTGGCCCGCTACACTGGGTGCTGTAGGAGGAGGACACACAGAAACGAGTGCGACTCTGCCAGCCCTCCCCACATGTGGCAGAACACACACTCCATGCTGACCACTCCTCACCTGCAGCTGAGTCTACTGAGGAGGAAGGCAGGGACAGGAGGACAGGGGGAGAAAAGAGGGAGGAGGAGTAAAGGAGAGGCAAGGCCCATAACTAATCATGCAGGACACAGCCTCTGTGGCCAAAAGAGGACGGGTTGTGGTATGATAAAGGGTCAGTTTTAGCTGTGCCACATTTTTAGTGCAGCCTCCTTCAAAGGCCAAATATTTCCTAACATATGGATGAGGATATCCATTCCAAAGGGTTCTACAAATGTAGCTGATTAGTGAAGCCTTTTTTAACAGATATAATAGGTGATCCTCCTTGATGGAGCATAATGACAGAAAGCCCTAAATCCTCTGAAGACACAGGTCCAGTCTTCTGATGCTCAGCATCTGTCACATCTGAGGCTGGCACCTCTGCCCCCTCACATTCCAGCACTCGGCAACAAGGCAGAACTGACACCAATCAACCCAGTGGAATATAAGGCGGTGTCTAATATGTGTCCGCATCACCAGTTTGCCTCATGTTCGTAGATGTGTTCCTGGTTCTCTGTCTATCTACCTCATATTATGCATGCAGATCTACATGATGATTCCAGCTCCAGCAATCCTGAACTCTACCCTGCACCCCAGTCTGCCAAGACAGCTCCTGTAGTTTGGAGCAGTTGCCACTACATCTCAGCACTGTGCTTGCCAGTTCTGTCCTCCAGCACCTCGCCACCTGCCACAGCTCCTCACCAGCAGTAAAACGATGGCTCTACTACTCAGTTGCTTCACTTTCAGGGGAGTCCGCCACTGACATCCCTCAGAAAAGACATTCCAGCGCACATCAACCATCTCTCCTGTTTCCTGCAGAGGAGCACTCTCCCTCCTTCTCTAGGCAGCCTAGCTACACCTGGGTCATACAGTACCACCAGCACCTCCTCCTCAGCTCAAGCATCTTCCCCGTGCATGCTTCCAGCTGTCCATTCAGTTACCTTCCCTTCTGTGTTTATGTAGCTGCATGTGTGCACTTAGCCTTCCCTGTCCTTGAGTGTTGCATATTGGGTTCACATTTTAAGCTCACTTAACGGTGCAGACCGTAACAGAACAAACTGGCCAATATGGACCCAGCACACTCTAACACCGGTTCACCCGCTTCCGCAGCACGCTTGCTCGATCTCAAGGCCAGCATAGACCGACTCAAACAATGCTAGTGTCTCGGGCTCAAGCAAATGCATACCACAGCTCAGCAAGTATACAGACTCGCCAACCAGATATCCAAGTCCGCTCCTGGAGCCAGCCAAGGTCAATCCCGTGAGTACCATATTCCAGACCCCGAGGCATTCTTGGGTGAATTAACCCTTGTGCTCTGTTCGGAGGGTTAAACAAATGCCGGGGGTTTATGGTTTTTGAACAGCGAGCGTTTACTTTAGATACAGCCAAGCGGGCATACGTATTTAATCTACTCAGAGGGACAGCTTTAGCTTGGGCTGAAGTGTTACTATCTTATCCGACCTCACAACGTCTTAGCGCTGAACAATTTGAACAGGAGTTTGTACAAGATATTTGGCCACCCCAATTACTCAGGTAATGCAGCTAAGCAACTAATTGCTCTTTGCCAGAGCACAAAGTGCGTGGCTAAGTTCGCGGTGGATTACGGCATACTAGCCGCTGACGCGGGGTGGAACAACACAGCGCTGAGCAGTGTTTTTTTCAATGGGCTGAGTGAAACATTAAAAGAATTATTGGCATGTGAGGAACTGGAGAATTTTGAGGCCCTGGTGGCTTTGACCATTCATAGATAATTGTCTCAGAGCGCCATCATGAACGAGGGCAGGCTCACCGATCCTCACTTAGATCTCAACCAGTGTCAACCCCCCAAAAGGAACTTTTGATCTGAGTGCGCTCAGTGCCCCCTTGTTGCCTCCCCACAAACAACCAATACAGCTTGGTCGGGCTCCTCTCTCAGCGAGAGAGCTAGCGAGACATGTGGCAGCCAACCTCTGTTTCTATTGTGGTCAGCCTGGCCACCGTCTTGTTAATTGTTTGGTTTGACCAAAAAAGCAGGCCACCAGCAACACCAGGAGCACGGGTGGCTCAATGCCATGATCCTGGTAAAACACCTTCTTGTCTTCGGTTACTGGCTACACTATATTTTCTGTCCCTGCTGGCATTCGAAGACTCCGGAACAGAGGATAACTTTATTGATAAGGAGCTCGCTAAACAGCTCAATCTTCAGGACAAACCCCTAGAACAGCCCCTTGTTGTACACTCCCTTGATGGCTGTTTTATGGCTCAGATAACACATCACACTACTCTTGTCCCCTTAACTGTGTCCCGTAATCACCAGGAACTCCTTAGCTTTAACATTATAAGTTCACCTGAGTCGCCCGTAGTCTTAGGCTTCGCATGGCACAGATTACACAACCCACACATTGACTGGACAGCTGGTAACATGCTCGCACTACTCAGCACATTGTCTTTGCTCTGCCAATACTCCAGTGAGTCATCCTTCTCCCGAGTCAGTTTCTGAACCCCTACACCTCTCCTGGGTCCCTGTAGAGTACCATGACCTAGAATAGAAGAAGTGTTTCACAAAGATTTATCCCTGTCCTTACCCCCTCACCATCCATATGACTGCTCCTTGATCTCCTTCCCGGTGCTCCCTTACCCTCCAGCCAGCTTTACAACTTGTCTAAACCTGAGAAGGAGGCAATGGAGCAGTACATCCACCAATCCCTGCGCTCTGGCCTTATCCGGCCCTCCTCTTCTCCACTCAGGGCTGGCTTCTTTTTTTGTGGGTAAGAAGAATGACTTGCTGCATCCCTGTATCAATAACCATGGTTTTAATCATATTCCTATCAAGAACCAATACCCACTTCCGTTGCTCAGCTCCACTTTTGACTCCCTGCAAGGTGCCTCCATTTTCACTAAACTTGATCTTCAAAATGCCTACCACTTGGTCAGAATGTGTGAGGGAGATGAATGGAAGATGGCCTTCAAAACACCACTGGGGCATTTTGAGTACTTGGTGTTGCCATTTGGCCTCACCAATGCCCTGGCTGTCTTCCAGTCCCTTGTGAATGATGTCCTCTGTGATTTTCTCAATTGTTTTTGTGTATTTAGATGATATACTCCTATTAATCCCGCTCTCCTGCTTATCATACCTGACATGTCCGCCAAGTTCTCCAATGTCTCTTAGAAAACCATCTCTGTTAAGGCAGAAAAGTGCAAGTTTCACGTGGACACGAGTTTTTTGGGCTTTATCATTGAGCAGGTGAGGATCAAGGCAAATCCCAGCAAGATGCGTGCAGTTGTGGAGTGGCCCACCCAAAGTACTCGAAAGGATCTCCAAAGATGCTTAGGTTTTGCCAACTTTTATTGCCGATTCATCAGAAACTATAGCAAGGTGGCAGCCCCCCTCACCAAGGTCACATCCCCTGTCACTAAATTCACGTGGTCTGATGAGGCTAACAAAGCCTTCCAGCAGCTCAAAGACAGGTTTACCTCTGCCCCTGTGTTAACCCAACCAGACCCCACATGTCAGTTCAATGTAGAAGTGGATGCTTCGGACACCAATGTGGGGGCTGTCCTGAGCCATAGGTCGGACCAAGATGGTGCTCTTCATCCCTGTGCCTTCTTTTCCCAGCAGCTCTCCCCAGCGGAAAGAAATTACAATGTGTGAAATAGAGAGCTATTAACGATTAAATCAGCACTGGAATAGTGGAGGCATCTGTTAGAGGGGGCTGAAACACCATTCATTATATGGACAAACCACAAGAACTTGCAATATATCCAGACGACAAAAAGACTAAATGCACGCCAGGCCCGCTGTGCCCTTTTCTTTGGGTGCTTCGGCTTCACTATTACCTACCAACCCAGGACCAAGAATGTGAAGCCAGATGGCTTACTGCATCAGTTTGGATCTACACAAAGTGACCAGAAGGACCACCCCATCCTGCCTGAATCCTTTGTGGTGCAAACATCACTTGGGACATCATGCAAAAGATAACAGAGGCACAAGAAACCCAGCCTGACCCTAGTGGAGGACCTCCGGGGAGAATATTTGTACCTGACTCTGTTCGATTCCATGTCCTGGAGTGGGCTCATGCCTCTCATTTTACCTGTCACCCTGGTATCCACCGAACTATTGCAGTACTGCAGCACAGGTTCTTTTGGCCCACCCTGGATCAGGATGCATGGAGTTATGTGCAGGTGTGCACAGTCTGTGCCTGATTGAAAGCCATGCATCAGCCTCCTTGTGGGCAGCTTCGTCCTCTACCTGTACCCAGTCATCCTTGGTCAAACATTGCACTGGATTTCATCACTGGACTGTCTCCATCTCAGGGTCACACCACCATATTAACAATCATAGACCGGTTTTCCAAGGCTGCTAATTTTGTGGCACTGCCCAAACTCCCCACAGCCCAAAAAGCCGCAGAACTCCTGGTTAACCACGTCTTCCATTTACATGGCATCCCCATGGATGTGGTCTCTGACTGAGGTCCCCAATTCACATGACAAGTTTGGTGAACCTTCTGTTCAGCTTTAGGGGCCTTGGTTAGTCTGTCTTCTGGATTTCACCCTCCAACCAGGAGCTAGAAGAAGAACTCCAGTATGTAACCTCCACAGAACCGGCCGCTTGGAGCAAACACCTAGCATGGATTGAATATGCCGACAACACGTCAGTCAGTTCTGTTACTGGTCTGTCTACTTTTGAGGTCTCCCTAGGTTACCAGCCCCCTCTCTTGCCTTCAGAACAGTCAGACATCACAGTGCCCTTCGTACAAGTATACCTATGGTGTTGCCAGCGCATCTGGAGAAAGACCCAGGCTGCCCTGAGTCACACAGCAGAGCGCAACCACCATCTTGCAGATTGTCACAGTCGACTGGCACTTGCCTAAAGCCCAGGTCAAAAGGTATGGCTATTGACTGAACATGTTCCCCTGAAGGGGGACTCCCAAAAGCTGGCGCCATGTTTCTTGGGTCCATTCTAGGTGGAGATGATCTTGCACCCCACTGCGGTGCATCTGAAATTACCTCATTCTATGCGTGTTCACCCCACCTTTCATGTGTCCAAGTGGCATATAAGGCAGTGTCTGATGTGTCCTCGTTACCACTTTGTCTCATGTTCTGTCTCTCTACCTCATGTTATGTATACAGATCTCGGTGATGATTCCAACTCCAGCAATCCTGAACTCTACCCTGCACCCCAGTCTGCCAAGACAGCTCCTGTAGTTTGGAGCAGTTGCCACTACATCTCAGCACTGTGCTTGCCAGTTCTGTCCTCCAGCACCTCGCCACCTGCCACAGCTCCTCACCAGCAGTAAAATGATAGCTCTACTACTCAGTTGCTTCACTTTCAGGTGAGCCCGCCACTGACATCCCTCCGAATAGAGACGCCAGCGCACATCAACCATCTCTCCTGTTTCCTGCAGAGGAGCACTCTCCCTCCTTCTCTAGGCAGCCTAGCTACACCTGGGTCATACAGTACCACCAGCACCTCCTCTTCAGCTCAAGCATCTTCCTCGTGCCTGCCTCCAGCTGTCCATTCGGTTACCTTCCCTTCTGTGTTCATGTAGCTGCATGTGTGCACTTAGCCTTCCCTGTCCTCTGTTCAATAAATACTACTCATAGAACCGGTTTTTGAGTGTTGCATATTGGGTTCACATTTTGAGCTCACTTAACAGTGCAGACCGTAACAGCATCCTTCAAAGAAGGTGGCCCCTGAAATGGGTGCCAGTTTTTTTTCATCTGCAGGGTTTTGATGCCATATCCTTTGCGTTGACTTTCAGGGGAAGTCAATGCCACTGGCTTAGGATATGCCATAACATTTCAGTGTTGGGTTGATAGGTCAGTTGACCAAATAAGGGAAACTTATGCAGTCAAAGCTGAGGAAACACTGAGAAAAACAGAATGTGGGGAATAAATTATCAACTTCACCCAAAGTCTCGTGGTATCAAGCCTTCACCCCCTGCAGGATTGAAAAGTTGGCACTCTATTCTGAATGCCACTAGATCCAGTCAGCTTACTTTCATATCACTTATAATGGATTCCAATAGTTAGAAGGTTTTGGGATAGACAAGTGTCAAAATGTCCATATAAAATACTCTTGCAACATGATCTGCTTCTCTTGTGTCCATCCATTTGCTCACTTTGTTAAATATAACTATATGGACACAGACAAGCTTATAATTCTCTCTGTCAAAAAGCTAACCACAAATGTTTCACACCCACCTTATAAAGGAATAGTTCAGTGTCTTGGGGAATACATTATTCACTTACTTTCTAAGACTGAGAGAAAAAGATCAATACCATTCTCCTATTTGTGCATTAAGTCTGGAGGCGATTAGCCTAGCTAGCCTAGAAATAGTTTTTGGCTTTCTTTAAAGTTAAAAATGCATCACCTCTAAAGGTTCACTAATTATCATGCATATTATTTCTTTGACCTTTCATCTTTAATAAAAAAGTTTACTATTTCACTATTTAGGGGAAGTTATGCATTGTAACTAAAACTTGGTGATTAGCAGCCAGATGCAGACCCACTGAGTTTTGTTGTTACAGCAAGGTTGGCATATATGTTCCCTTCAAGCAGTACAGATACCTCTACTTAGGCTCACTGACTGTATCTAGCTCCTCAGAGTCTGCGAGGTTTCTGACTTGCAACATGTATGTCAGTGAGCTCTATAAGGGTTGGTAAGTGTTTGTGAACACTGGTCAGAGCCAGAATAGCTGTCATTTTGCTAAGCTAAGCTAAACACATCCTGTCTATAGCCCCATATTCCTAACCACACAGACATGAGAGTGGTATCTAATGCTTGAAAAAATAAAGTAGTTGCTGTCCCAATTGTTGAACAATTTCCTTCAGCCCACAGAGGGTTGTGTGCTTGGTAGGCATGATTTTGGGTGGAGTATCACTTTAACAGAGAGGGAGGGCCCCATTTGATGTTGTGTTTTGCAGACAGGGCACAGTGTCCTGTTATGACCTCACATAAAATACAATTTCACTATGTTCAGTCACGGTCCATGTTGGAATTAGTCTGTTGCGGACGAGGCACCGCGTTGGGAGATTTTGATAGATGTGTACATTAAAAGTGATTGCAACTCTCTAATTTGTAGTTATTTTATATGTATATACCTATTGTACAAATGTAGTGGTCACCCAAGCTGCCACAGTGACTGATGCGTGGGATCCCTCTGCATCCCGTTGTCTTACCTGTCTGAGCATTCTGCTGTCCGCTGCGGGGCTTGTCTACATCATCACGCTTGCGACTGTCCACCGAGCGAAGCGATTGGCTGCGAGAGAGATGGCGACCTTTGCCTAAAGGGGGTGAGGCAAGGCCAGGAGGGAGGAGGAGGTGGAGTTAGCAACCAGAGCTCCTTCATTAATGGCTCATATTTGGGACACAACCGTGACAGGATTGGTCACCCAGAACAGCATCAGCCAAACTTGGGACTTTTGTTGTGCTGTCAGTGTTGATGTACTTTAAATGTGTGCAGGTCTCATCTGCAGTATATTAATGTTTATAAAAAAGTCCAATGCCACTGATGGCATGACTAACTGAAAACACATGCACAGTAATGGCAATCGGCTGTTCAAGCTATTTGTCAGACATAAATGTAGTGCTACCTCTTTACAAATGAAGAAAGCTTTATCCTGTGAGGTCATTCATTGAAAGTACTAATGTATCTTGGTAAATAACCTCTACATAATAGTGCTGAGATGTGGATTTTCTGTGTCCCTTTTGCCATTTGTGGGTGTAATGATTCTGGTCACTTGATGATGTCATTGTTATTTCTCATCGATCAAAGTCCCCTTTCCAACATGCACTCCTTAAGTCAATAAACTGACTTACAAAAGATGGATACACAAGCAGATGAGCAAGGAAATAAAATACATCTGTAAACACAAACTTTGCACACACTCATATTTAACCACAAAGAGTAAAAAGGACACTCACTGACAGACATTGATGTATACAAATATGAAAACAAACACACACATGAGCAGAGCAGCTCACCGGTGCAGGGCTGTGTGTTGCAGGGTCGTCCCTCCTCCACTACACCCTCACACATGTACGACTCCTCAGGTGGTGACTGGCAGCTCCTAGTTCGCGTTTGAATCCCACCGCCGCACTCGCTGCTGCAATGTGCCCACTGACCCCACACACTCCAGCCACCTCAAGACACAACACACACATACACAGGGCGGTCATTTACAAAACACTGCATTATTATTATACTGATGTACTTCCTGCGCCAGCTCAGGAAGTTAGACCTGCCCCAGGAGCTGCTGATACAGTTCTACAGAGGAATCATCGAGTCTGTTCTCTGCACCACCTCACGGGTCAAAAGGAGGGCGGAGAGGATCACTGCTGACCCCTCACACCCCGGATACAATCTGTTTGAACTCCTCCCCTCTGGACGGTGTTACAGGTCACTGTGCACTAAGACAACCAGGTACAAGGACAGTTTCTTCCCCCAGGCTGTCGCTCTGATGAACACTGAACCCACGACAGTATGACTGGACAATAACCCTCAGTGCAATACCTGTAAATATACATTGTACATATTATACAGACTTGTACAGGTCTCTAGTACTCTGTTTTAAGTACTCTATTTTTTATCCCTAATTATCTCATTTCAATGAACATTCCCTTGCTGTCTGCATTGTTTACTGTCTATTTATACTGCTTTTTCTGCATTGTTTGCAGTGGTTGTTGATGTCAATACTGTTATTTTGTTATATTACACAGCCTTAAGCTGGTCTACTGTTTGCACATTGAAAGCCAATGTACCTGAGTCAAATTCCTCGTATGTCCAACACACCTGGCCAATAAACTGATTCTGATTCTGATTCTGATTCTTATTGTCAACCTGTGATGAGACACTGTTAAGTTATGAACCAAACCTCTTACTGCGTTTCAGCAGATCAGGCCACCAGAGATCAAACAGGTGTAAAATGTCCATTACCATTACTCTATATCTCACATGTACTACCGTGTGCTTTTCTGAGTTTTCTCATCCCCCAGACAAGCACATAAAGCATCAGTTTAGGGCACCTGCCTAAGAGAGTGGCCTATGTGAAGAAACATTGTGATAGCTTCAACTAAAAACTTCTTTGCACTGTATATACTGTCAATACAGAGCAATAATACTCAACACACCATGGGTAAAAGAGGCCAGACAATCTGTAATTCCTTGGCTATGTAGTACATCTATATGAATGTCAAAAAGAAAACAAACAAAATGCACATGCACTAGGAACCAGATAAGCAAGAAGAAACAACCTACAATAATGATGGAATATTTTCAAAGCAGCTAAAAAGTTGTTTGATCAGATAAAAATAGTGTATATCCCTTAAACCAGGGGTTCTCAACTACAGTAAGTGTGACCCAGGGACCATCATTCTCAATAAGATTACAATAAGATAAGTAACCCAAGAACACCGGATGGGCATTATTTTACTCTTGAAAGTCACCTTGGCCTTTCTAAATTTTATAATATATTTGCATGAATTTGATTACCCACTAACAAACAGTAAGTAACACATGGAAATGAGTTTAAAAGTGATTTTTTTTTTTTTTTTTAAAGGTGAAACTACATTATTGAATGCATGAGTTGAGGACCACCAGGGGGCCGCAGACCACTGGTTGAAAACCCCTGTCTTAAACCACTTTGGCCTTTGGTGGGCCAGAGACATCGCAAACCTATAGTCTCTAGTCATGTATTGTTCAAATCACCATATTTTTTGTATTTAAATGGCACTCAAAAATCACAAGGCTCCCAGAGTGTAAGGCTCATTGAGTACAGAATGATACACAAAACATCTTCAATATTTTCAGCCCAGTCTCGCATGACAGTCTAAAATGGTCCACAGCATAAAATGTAGTAGTGTCACAATAATAATAATAATAAGCTGTGTAATGGCAACACATTTTGTATTGCAGCCCAGTGTCCTTCTTCTTAGTGGTTTATGGTGGTTGGCAATTGACATAGTGCAATACCACCACCAACTGGACTGGAGTTCAGATTGGGACGCTAACATTTATCATGAACTATAGAATGTTAAAAACAGTAATGGCTGGATGGGCCCTACAAACACCTGACTTTCACACAGACAACTGGAGATTGAGTCCCGTTCATGACATTGTAGCTTTCATTTGAAAGTGTTTCAACCAAACCCAGGAGCTTTCCCCTAATTATGTAGTTTCTGTGCCTAAACCTTGTATAAGTAATGTCAGCCATTGTCTTTTGTTTTAGCTGCCAGAAAAACATTGCCATGCCACAATTTTTGATCCAGAAAAATGTTGTAATGTCACAACTTTGGAGACACTATTGTGAAACTAGTACATTCTGCATTGTGGACCAATGTAGCTATTATACATTTTGCTGTGAGACTAGATTGTTATTTCAGTGTTAAGAATGGTGGAAAACATCATAAAGACTCAGAAAACAGCTGGAACAACCCAGTACAACAAGTATTTATGGTACTGTCAGACAGGATATAGTCCTATATTTTTAATCTAGTGGTTTAGTCTAATTGTCTAAACAAAGACTTAAATCAGTTATCTAAATGTTAACCTAATTTTGCTGGATTGATGAAGCTAAAATAAAGCTACATAGGAGTACAATTTCTTTTAAAAAGTTGCACATTATTGACTGTAGATGTTGATTACATCATACTTACTTCTATTGATCATATATTTTAACTCATGTATACTCTGAGTAATTATATTTTGAGTATGGGTGCTATTGTCAACAGGCTCAAACAGACCAAGACCATAAAGATATTAGTTGCCACCGGGTAGAGAAGTTGAGCTACACAGTTTTCCATGTTTTGGTTTGTTTTTTACACACATCCTATAACCACTCACCACTCACAGGATAAAAAACACAAGTCAATTTCAGGCTTTACTCTCTGCCAAAGCTTTGATTCCCTTGTGGAAGAATAATGTTTCCAACCTTTTTTAGTGGTGAGCCCTTAAAATGAATAGCAACTCTGTGTGAGCACTCAGCAGCAGTTATGGCCTTAGTGTGGAGATGCGTTGTGAGCACTTCAAACCTTTACTGATTGGTGGAGCTTCTGTGAAACCTAAAAATAGTTGTTGTTTTTTTTTTTCTTAGTCTTCTTGTGAACCCTCAGATATATCTTAGGACTTTGAAGGTTCACTGGGAACACCTCAGCTCGGGAAACTGTAATCAGTCATTTGTATGTATGTATGAAATGCATATTGAAGTGATAGTTCTAATTTCACCATTTAAACCACCTGAATGATATACAATATGTACACTATGAATGAAGACAATGTTCATAAATACAGCTTGCTCAATTTCAGTCATTGTCACTTTAAACCAAAAATATTTAATCCAAGTGTCCTTCCACATCTGTTTCAAAAAGGCATACTTGCAGTATGGCCCAGTGCAGTTCAGACCTGTAGTTTTCCACTAACCTCTATTTTCATTGTTAACTTCCACTCAAACCATTACGAATTGTGTAATGTCTTTAAGTGATTTTTTTTTTTTTTTTGGAAGGCTGGATTCAAATAAAACATTAAAATTACGTTACCTTATATATTTTGTTAGCAGGTGCATTAGGTGAGTATAAATGGCTGCAGAAAATGCTTAATAGAAAGAATGAAGCAGAAATGAAGGAGGCCAGGAAATGTATTTGCAACATAGATAGCTATAAATAAACTACAGACTATAGCGTTGTTTTTCTGCTCGCCTGCTCTTAATGTCAAGTAGTTAGGTAGGCGACAGTGGTGCAGTGGGTAGAGCAGTTGTCTCCCACCCGGAAGGTTCAAATCTTGGTGCCTGCAGTCCACGTGTCGAAGTGTCCTTGGGCAAGACACTGAACCTCCTGTTGCCCCCAATGGTTAGAGCCATTGGTTGAGTTGGCAGCTGGATGGCTGCCTCGGTTCTGTACCGGAAACAAATTCCTTGTGTGTGACATACTTGGCCAAATGAAGGTGATTAGCTAGTGCCTCATGGGTACAGGGACAAATCTATAACAGAGGAGGAAAAGATTCACATTTCTCCATCACAGTTATCACAAGAAGATCCGGTATGAGACATGTCCCTAATACAGATGGCAAACTCTCCTCATTGTAAACACCATACACATAAATGGGTAAAGGGTAAAGGGTGTGGTCTGTCCAAGAGGTACAGACACCAAAGTCCCTATTAGCAGATATATGGTGTAATGGTGATAAAATGAGAACATTAAAAAGTAACCTGCAGCTGCACTGAACAACAGTGTAGTGATTAAAAACAAACAAGTTCCAAGTTAAAAATGTAAGAGTGCAGTAGGAGATTACATATATTATATATTTGACAATATATATTATTTGTAGTAGGTAATAGATGATAGTTATGTAAGGGTGAGTTAAGTGTTTATATAATCTTGGAGAGATCAATCACAGGCTAGCCAGTGACCTCTGTGCAGGTCCCAAGCCCAGATAAATAGAGAGGGTGGTGTCAGGAAGGGTATCTGGCGTAAAAACATGCCAGATTTAAACATGCGAATCATCAGTGTGAATTCCATACTAGATCTGTTGAGGCCCGGGTTAACAACAACCGCCCCCAGTGCTGTTGACCTACAGGGTGCTGGTGGAAACTGGACTACTGTTGGTCGAAGAAGGAGAGGAGGTAGAAGGATTCGTAGACAGAGAAAAGAGGAAAGGCAGGAGTATAGGTCTGAGAATAGGTACTCCTAATGTTGGCACATTGACAGGGAAAGGTAGAGATCTGGCAGACATGATGGAGAGAAGGAAGGTAGACATACTGTGTGTGCAGGAGACCAGGTGGAAGGGTAGCAAAGCGCGTAGCATTGGAGTAGGATACAAACTGTTTTATTATGGTGTGGATAGGAAGAGAAATGGGGTGGGAGTGATCCTGAAGGAGGAGCTGGTGAAGAATGTTTTAGAGGTAAAAAGAGTGTCAGACAGGGTGATCAGTTTGAAGTTGGAAATTGAAGGGATAATGTTGAATGTAATCAGTGGTTATGCTCCACAAGTAGGGTGTGAGTTAGAAGAGA